CCTTTAACCCTCACAACTCTGAGAATTAGGTTATTATCCACCTTTTATAGATGAGGAAACTGAGATTCAAGGAGAGTAACTATCCCAAATAGAGCTATAATGGTAAAAGGTGGATTTGAACTTCACTATACCTAGTTAAAACACCAATAAATCAAGCGTGGGTCAAAAATAAAGAACAGGACTCAAGGAGTTAAGGAAGGGTGAATACTGTCCCCAAGCTAAGGAAAAAATTAGGACTCCAGTCACATCCAGGGATATAGCGTACCCTCTAGTGACGAGAGGGTGAGCACACACACTGAGGCTGGCGGACAGGGTGCTCACCAGAGACCCACAAACCATACTGCTTGTCTAGCAAGGAAGACCACCAAGATGTCTCGTGCTGGTATTTTTATCTATTTGAACAGCACAAAAAGGTACATTTTGGGGAGGGAGGTGATACAGCTGTGGATGCAAGAGCACGAGTAAGCTACTTTCCCTCAATTCCATGTATTCAGTTCCCTGGTTACACCAGTTCTTTCAACTCCTTTCATAAGCAGCTTTAGGGGGTTTCAGTGTTCAGGCTTTTTATAATCATTGCTCCTCTCCCTGCATGAAAAGACAGCCATTCATCCCAGCAAGCAGCAGTACTGCTTATATGGCAGGCATTAGTCATCAGGAATTTTTCAAATAAACACTCCTGCTAGAAGCAGGTCTCTAAAACATAGAACCAGTTATGTTACCCTCCTGCTCCAAGAACTGCTAAGAGTTCTCTAACAAAGTCCAACCCCTCAGTGGAACCACTGGTCTGGCCCCCACTGCCTGCAGCCTCACCTCCCACGGCAGACTATCTGATGTTCCCGAAACACATTCTGCACTTCTGGCCTCAGTAAATGTTCAGGATGGGGAGAGAGGGAGGTTTTGAGCAAGTCTCTTAACTGCCTGGCCCCATCACACCTGAAACAGTGCAACTGTACACTGTTTCCAGATGCTCCCCAGGCACGCCACCAGGTCCTAGGAAGAGTGGTGTGGGCGAGAGGGCAAATGCCCTCTGGAGCCTGTGCCCCTCCCCCAGTCCCCTGCTGGAGCCTGGCATACACATGACCAGGGAGGGTCTGTCTGAGGCTAGGAATGCCTCACCCTCTTGGATCTACCTGTGGAGAGCAGAGTGGCAGCTGGCTCTGGACAGATGTCCAGTCCAAAGGATTCGGGCCCACAAGGGGGACCCTGGACTATTCTAAAGTGGATTTTAATCCATGGGGGTCTCTGGGTTAGAACGTGTGTGTTGAGGTCATCTTAGGGAGGAAACACAGTTTAGTTCTAACAATTACTGAGGGTCAATTCTGAACTATGTGCTTTAGAGACACAAGGAAAAACAAGACACGATCCCCTTACCCTCCAAGAGAGTCCTGTGCAGATGTTTCATTTTAAATTATAATTCTTCCCTTCTAAGCTAATGTAGCAACTCATTTACCTCCTCCTTGTTTTAGATCTAATTTCCTTTACCTTATTTCAATAAGGAAACCAGCAGTGAGTACCAGGACCAGAGCCCTGGCCTGAACTCAAAAGTTCCCTAACCTCCTCTCCCCATGGCTCCAAGGACTCCCACATATGCATCTGGCCCAGAGCTGCTCACCTCCAGCACACTCAAGGCCCAACTTCCCCACTAAGGCTGCCGTGTCACCTTCATCTAACGACATGGAGGGAGTGACAGATAGCTATCCTGTGAGGGGTGAACTGAGCAAACCAAAGACAGGGTGACTTGACTAACCAAATCAGTGATACTCTCACATCTAAAGGAAGAAATCGACAAGAGGGGCAGGCCCACACCACAGCTGGTGCCCAGTGCTGCCCTGGAAGGACTCATCTATGGGTCTTGAACAACTGGAGCCACTAGAGGTGTGCTGTGTGTGGGGAAGGAGAGCACCTCACCATGGCCTGGATAAAGTGCCATGAAATCATTCCCCCCTTTCTCTAACTTCACATTGATCAAGGAACCTGACGGTTAACTGGGGGCCAGGTAATAACGACGATGACACCTTTCTTGACTCACACAATCCGATGAACACAAAACAGAAGGGCTGCTCGGAAGAACAAGCAAATTCCATGACCTGAGAAAAGGGGTTATTCACACTTCCATGGGCTCAGTCCTTTGCTATTTCCACTAAGAAGAGGAAAGAAGTTTTCTGAGATGGTCATAGGTTCTTTCTTCCTAAATTATTAAGCACAAAGTTCTTCCTGGGACATCCATGCTACATTAAACCAAAGTTTCCAGTAAGGTGATTTCTTCTAGAAAGCATGTAAAATAGCCATTTGTTTACTGTAGGAACTGACGTTTGTTCACTGAAATTTGTTCAGACCTTTCTGTCCTTGCTGGGGACTCCCTCCCCACCCCATCTAGTTTTTCCCTTTGCTGGCTGTGCAAGCAAACTAAAAATGGAGTTTCCAGCAGGTTTAACCCAAACACAGCATGCAGTCCAGTTTCTTCTACACTGTCTCTTGGCCTGCACTTCCACCAATCCAATCTTCACATAAAAGCAAAGCAATATTCTCACACTGAAGACGGGATGTTACTTCTGTACTTAAAAGCCTTCCTTAACGATGATGATAACTAACATCTATTGGGCACTCAGTACCCATCAGATGCTTTCTGATGTACTTTAGATACATTGATTGACTAAGTCCTGACAACACCTAATGAAGTGAATATTACCCATATTTTATAGATAAGGGAAGAGAGGCATGAAGTGGTTAAGTAACTTTCATAAGATCATATGGAAAGTGGGAGAAGCAGGGATTGAAACTTGGCAGTCTGACTCTAGGACCCCAATGCTTAGCTATTATGTACCCTGGGGGAAGGGATTTGGGCTTCTACTCCTTTAAAGTCATTTGCTAAACCCTTACTATCTGGTACAAACTTTAAAATATACATTCTTACATTCTCATTTAATTCTCTCAACCACCTACCAGGAACCATTATTACAAATGAGGAAACTGCCCAGCTCAGAAGTCACCTGGCCAGGGAGGCACAGACCCAACAATGGGCCTTGCCAAGGGACCAGGTCTGCCTGGCTGCACAGTCTCTGCTCTTCCCAGGGGTCCACATATCCTCCCTTCCCTGCATGCCCACCCAATGCCCAACACAAGACTGCACACATCAACACCAAAAAAAGTACAGACCGCCTGCAGTCAGGAACTGAGGGAAGTGACCGCAGGAAGCGCAGGTCCTGGGAAGCTGGCTCATTCGGCAACTGTCGAGCAAACCTGTGAAACCTGGATGGGCTTAGAAGTGGCCCGAGGACCCAGCACCAATTCCACACCAGTTACTAGAAGGAAGACCTAGAAGAGAACTACTCACACGTAATGGTAGAGTAAATTAATGCTGGGTGCCTGTCATGAACCAGAAGCCAGGTGAAGTGCTGGCTGGTGAATTCCGTGGTGGCGGGCGCAGTGGCTATGTGTGCAGCGGTGAGGGTGGGGGGATACCTTTCAGAGAGTAAAAGAATCCATTTTCTAGCCACAGGCACGCAGGCAGTGTTAATAAATTCACGTCTGCTGGATGAATGACTATCTGAGAAAACTACATCTACCTTTACAGCCCGGCTGTTTACAGGACATGTGAACTAATTTAACGCGTGCTGGAAAACTACTGGCCGAAGTTCCCACTCTTTCATACAGGTGAACTGGAGCGCACAAAGGCTGGAAATGACTAACAACATTTGAAGGTCCAGAGGAAGTCCGGGGCACCTAACTGCGAACCATCCCCGCGACTCCTCACCCAGATACAGAACAGTCTCCTCTGCGAACCATCGAGAAACAGCCGGCCTCCAGCCCCGTCCCACCTGTTTCTCTGCCCAAGCCTGAGGCCAACTCAGCCAGCTCATAAAGTGCACTCGGCACCGATCTCAGCTCTCCGTGGCTTCGGGCAACTCACTCCGCCTCCAGCTCCTCATCTGGAAAATGGGGAAAACATTAAGAGCGGGCCAGCAGGGCTGCGAAAAGAGCAAAGACCGCCTGGGCAGCAAAGCGCTTAGAGAACCTGAAATGCCGCACAAAGGGAGTCGAGTGTTAGAGGAGAACCAGGCGCAAAATTTGGAAATTAAAGGTCTGGGTGTGGATCTCGGCTTCGGCACTAACAGACCGGCAGAGTCTGAGCAAATCACTTGCCCGCGCAACTCCAGTCGTCCTAACTCTGAGGCCGCGCTGAGACCGTGGGGCAGCGCCCGGCTCCTCAGACGAGGGGCTGCGCCGGAGAGACCCTCCGGGCCGCGGACAGCGCGTCCCCTCCACAACCGCAACTCCGCCCCCCGCGGGGCGCCCCTCGGGCCGCTCCCACAAGCCCCGCATTCCGGCCCCTCCGCCGTCAGCGGTCCCACCGGCCTCCCCCCGGCCCGCCGGAGCGACGGCGCCGGCAGCCAGTGGGCAGCCGGGCGGCCGGGCCCGCGGCGGCGACGGCGACCGGGCCAATGGGGAGCGCGGCTGTGGCAGGGGGCGGGAGCAGACGGCCCTCCGCGTCGCGCCCAGACCGTTCCCTCCTCCGCCCCGAGGCCCGCTAAGACTCGGGCCGTGAACCCCGAAAGGAGAAAAAGCCGCTCACCGCCCCTTCGCCGCAGCCCCTCGCTTCCGGATGAGCTCGTCCAGGGAGATGTCCGCCATCTTGCACCGCCGCGCGAGCCGCGAGCAGCTAATCGTCCCTCAGCCCTCGAGCCCGCCCCTTCGGCCGCTACGGAGCAACTAGCGGCTTCCGGCGTTCGGCTGACGAAATCTCGCGACAGATCAAACCGAGCAAGAACCGGAAGGGGCGGGGCTCTCCCCGTGAGCCTTTGCGACGTCCGCTGCTTATCTGCATACGGCGGGTCGTAGCCCTACCGTTCCCTCTTTCTCCAAACGAGCAAATAAAATGAAAAGCAACAGAAAAGACTTAAATGAGTAAGACAGTCTTCAAAGGAAAGAGGTTCTCGGTTCGACGGTCAACTTTGCCACTCACCGTAGGGCTAATGAGAATGGGATTCATTACCTAGGAAGTAAACGTTAGGAGGAGGTTATGCCTTAAACTTATGAGTAAGGAAAATAACGATTCGGGGTGACGCCCGAATCCTCACTGCTAATGTGAGACGAATTTTTGAGCGGGTAAAGGTTGCCCCTACGGTGACCCGCCTACTTTGCGGGATGCCTGGGAGTTGCGATCTGCCCGTACTCCTTGCATCTAAAAAATAGAATTTAATAATTAACCGAATTGAGTGAAAGTTGAAGACGAACTAAGGAATTATGTGTAGTCACCATTATTGATTAACAGTAGTGGTCAAACTTCGCGCCCCTACCCGGGGTTGTTAACCCGTAAAACGGTTAAGATTGGGTTTAGATAAGAGTCAGTTCTTTGCAGCTTACGAGGTACGTTGACTGGGAGTGCTACCAATTAATTGTTCGGGGGAGACAACGTGCAATACACAAGAGCCTCGTTGTGTGGGTTATAATGAAGTGCTTACGTAACACGGCTCACACTTCTGGGCAGTAGGACGTTTACAACCGAATGTTTTGGCCAGCCTGACCGTTGTCTTCCTAATCTGCACAATGGGGCACATGAACTACGTCGCTGCGAGGGCCAAATGAAGTGTTCCGAATCTGTATTTTTTTTTTTAATTGATGTAATCTCAGTCTCCAGCACTGATCCTGGTGGGAGGTTCAGTATGTCGAACCAGTGAATGAAAAATACAACAACAGCAGGAAACGGAATTCCTTGGCGATCCAGTGGTGAGGACTGCGCGGTTCTGCTGCAGCGGGCCCGGGGTTAGATCCCTGATCGCGGAAGTAAAACACCCGCATGCAGCGCGGTGTGGCCGAAACACCACCAACAGAAAAACAGAAACATAAAACAAAGACTAAACGTGCAACGCGTTTTAGGCCAGCGCCGAACAAAGATTAAGTGCCCTATGAATCACTGCTGTAAGTACAACGGGTGAGTGGAGTTATGTGTTCTCGACAGAACATCACACCGCAGATGAAAACCTGGCATCAGAAAGAAGGTCCGTGGAGAGACGAGCTGGTGAAGATTGGGCACCGGAGGAGGGAAATCCAGGTCCCCGCCTTCGCAGCCGTGATTGGCTGCTGGCTGGCCCTCCTTTTCTCAGCCGTGAAACAGAACCATTAACTGCTCCCTCCGCGAGGTGCCGGGAAGGAACGCGGAAACCAGGAACCAACCCTTGGCCGGCTGCACAGCGGAGGGCAGGCAGGTGCGCAGGAATAGGAAAGGGCCAGAGGAGCGCGGGAGTTAAGGCCCTTTCGCACCTCCACGCGAAGAAAGCGAAGTGTAAAAATAGCGCTTAAATAATTTCCTTAAACTACCCCAATAGTGGAGTCATTGATGTCATGTAATTCTGTGACTGCCGGATTGCCCTCCTCCAGAAGCGTTTCGGAACTTCGTGGGGTCTTATTTGGGTGTCGGAACGGCAGGGATCCGGTCACGTGGAGGCGGGGACGGGATGGGACGTCCCGCTGGATCTCCCAACGCTCGGGACATTCCCGGGGCGGAGGCGCCGGTTACGATTCTTTGATCCTGGGTTTCGCTCCATTTCTTGTATGAACACGCAGGACTTTTTTCCTGGTGTAAACAAATATGGGATTGCCAGCAACGCACCTGCGCTGTAGCCAAAGGAGCTGGGTCCTGCCTTACTTGGAGACTAACCAACAATTGTGACCCGCCTGGGAAAACCGCACCCCTGTCGGCAGAGCGGGGAAGGCGGGCGGCATTAGAGACTGCGCCAGTGCAGGGACCATGCGTCCATGCAGACTCCTGACGCTTCCGTCTACGGGCCTTGGGGCCACCAGCATTTACATGCTGAAATGTGCATCATTTTATGAAGTCCTTTCCGTTTTTGCTTTTATAATATGTTTGCATTTTTGTTTTTAATATTCATTTATTCGGCTGCGTTGGGTCTTAGTTGTGTTGTGTAGGCTCTTCGTTGTGGCGCTCAGGGCTTCCTCTCCAGTTGTGGAGCGCGGGCTCCAGAGAGCGTGGGGTCAGTAGTTGCACGCAGGCTCTAGAGTGCGTACGGTTAGTTACCCCGCGGCATGTGGGCTCTTAGTTCCCTGACCAGGGATCAAACCTGCGTCCCCTGCATTGGAAGGCAGATTCTTAACCGCTGGACCACCAGGGAAGTCCCCTTTGTGTTGATTTTTTTAAAAATTCTGTATAGGTAGGTGGTATCAGCGGTGACTTCAGGAGCGTAAAGCGGCTGTTATAAATGTTGTTTTTAAATGGTGTCACGTCTGAGAGGGTGGAGAATCACTGCCCTATTCACTCACCCATTTTACAGGTGGGGAGACAGACTTCTAAGAGGGTAGGGACCAGGTCCAATTTACGTCCTTCTTCCCAGCTTCAGCAGACAGCCTCTTGTGGGCTCAGGCAGTGTGCAGCAAGTCTCAACGCTCAGGCCCGTTTTCTTATCCTCCAGACGGGGACAGGCACCAGGAGACCTAATGTGTGTCAAGCGCTCAGCAGAGTCCTCAGCAGACGGTAGGTGTGGAGAAGAGCCATCAGGGCCTGAGAGGCCCAGGCTGAGTCCTTCCCCTGCCCACTGAGGAGTCCCAGCCCTGCTCCAGGATGTGTGAGGGCCAGAGACAGAATGGAAGGTGAGAGATGAAAGGGGAGAGTGGCTCCCTAGCCCCGAGGCCTCCTGTGAACTCCCCCGTCTTCTCCTCTTCCCCACTCCACTCCAGCCACACTGGCCCTCACTGTGTCCCAGGGCCTCCGCACTTGCTGGTCACTCCCGCTGGAGTACCCCTCTAGTCCTGCCTCCCTCTCCAGTCTCACCCTCACTGTCCCCTCAGCCACCTGCCTTCCTTGATCTGTTTCTGAAAGTTTCTTCCACAAGCTTGTTCTAGCCACAAGGCCTTCACACTTGCTGTTCCGCCTCGAACACCTACCCCAGCGGGGCCAGCTCCTTCCCTTCACATCGCAGCACAAAGGTCACCTCCTCAGAGGGAGTTCCTGCTGCCCAACTCTGAGAACAGCCCTCATTCCCACACTGTCCCGTCTTTTTTTGGTTTTTAATTTAATTTTTATTTTTGGTTGCGATGGGTCTTTGTTGCTGCACAGGGACTTTCTCTAGTAGCGGTGAGCGGGGGCTATTCTTCACTGCAGTGCGCAGGCTTCTCATTGTGGTGGCTTCTCTTGTGGAGCACGGGCTCTAGGCACGTGGGCTCAGCAGTTGTGGCTTGCAGACTCTAGAGCGCAGGCTCAGTAGTTGTGGCGCACAGGCTTAGTTGCTCCGAGGCATGTGGGATCTTCCCAGACCAGGCCTTGAACCCGTGTCCCCCGCATTGACAGGTGGATTCTTAATCAGTGTGCCACCAGAGAAGCCCCACACTGTCCCATCTTTAACTTCCATCTTGGCATTTCCCATCACCTGTTACTTGTCTAGTGTCTTTCTTGTGAACACCCCAGGAGCAGGGAAGGGTGTGTCTGGAGCAGCCTTGGCCCTGGCCCTGGCCCTGGAAGAGTGCCTGAATGAATGAAGGCACTCCCTTCCTCACCTGTAGCTTCCCCAGGACAGGGCGACACCTGCCTTGCCTCAGGCCCGACCTCCACCCTGAAAGCCATTCACTGCCCTGAGCCTCAGTCTCTCTGTTGGAAATAGGTGCTACTGACTTCTCTCTACTTCTCTCAGGGCTCCCCAGAGGACAGAGTAAAAAGGAAAACACTGGGGACACACGGGGTTGTCCAAAGTTGGGACTGGGGACACCTTTTAACACGGCTGAGATGATGTGAATAAGGCTGGGTGTAAGGGGAGGATTAAAAGTTGGACCCCCCACTGTCCACACTCCATCTATTCCCAGGAATCTACCCTGAAAGAAGTCATAAGAAAGGAGGGTGAAGGACTGCCCCTGCTGGCGCAATGCCTAAGAATCCGCCTGCCAGTGCAGGGGCCACGGGTTCGAGCCCTGGCCTGGGAGGAGCCCACATGCCGTGGAGCAACTAAGCCCGTGTGCCACGACTACTGAGCCTGCGCTCTGGAGCCCGCGAGCCACAACTACTGAGCCTGCGTGCCACAACTACTGAAGCCTGCGTGCCTAGAGCCTGCGCTCCACGACAAGAGAAGCCACCACAATGAGAAGCCCCTGCACCGCAACGAAGCGTAGCCCCCGCGAGCCACAACTAGAGAAAGCCCGCAAGCAGCAACGAGGACCCAACGCAGCCAAAAATAAAAATAAATTTAAAAAAAAGGAGGGTGAACATGGCCACTGTTATTTACAAAATCTGCAAACTGGAAACAGCCTAACTGTCCAACAACAGGGATTTGCTACATAAGAAAATCATGATCCGTGTGGGCCTATGGCGAGTTTCTGACCACAGCGGGAAAGCAGAGGCCACACAGTGGATGACGTGGTGTCATCCAAGTTCTAAGTGCTGGCCTCTAGATTCCGGCATTTTTTCCCCTGTGTATACTCCTCTGAACTCCCCCAATTTTTTTTTTTTTTTGGCTGCACCACATTAGCTTGTGGGATCTTAGTTCCCCGACCAGGGCTCAAACCCAGGCCCCCTGCAGCGGAAGCACGGAGTCCTAACCACTAGACTGCCAGGGAAGTCCCCAAGTTTTCTACTATAAACACAAACGTCAGAAATAAATGCCAGGCCTTACACAGCCCCTTCCTCTCCCCCTCCCTCCCCCACAAGGACATAGGTCACAGAGCCTCCAAGAGCTGCAAAAGTGTTCAGATTAGCAAAGTTTTACTTCAACGTTATGTGTGCTCATAAATGACTCTGAAAAGCCGATATGCAAGAGGATGACACGCTGTGGTCTAAAGGCAACGTCGAGGCCACTGAGAATGTCCCTCAGACAAGAGGCTCTGCTCAAAATCTCCCCCACCTGGGGTGAGGGCAGCAGGAGGGGCGTCTGGGACAGAGGGATAAACACATCATCTCAGCTCTCCCATCAGGACTGGCGGCCCGGGACCCCAAGCTGGTCGATCAGAGGTCAACTGCTTGGAACTCCCAAAGCTGCCCAAACGTTCTGGTGTTTCAGGGAAATGCGAAGGCTCCCGGAGGGCCCGTGTGCCAGATGGAAGGGCCCTTGGTCAGCCCCCTCCTAGTCCAGCCCCAGGGGGAGCCCAACTCCCTGCTGGCCGGGCCTGCTGTGCCCTGGGGTCGGGGCAGCCTCTCACCCCAGCAGCCCCGTCAAGAGGACGTGTTGGTGTTACCTATCACGTAGTGTCAGGTGCCGAGGCCTGGCTGTGGCCCTGAAGCAGGCGGTGGGTAGGGGCCTGGCACCTGCAGCTATGGGCTGCCCATATATTTATGTTTATTTCCAGAGTGTGGTATGCTCTGGGGAGGGTGGGCAGCATGGTGCTGGCAGCCTCGGCCCAGTAGTGTGTGTGTTTTGTGGGGGTGGGGGGGGAGGGGGACATCTCCAGTGAGGCCCAGACAGAAATCTGCCCTAAAGGTGGCCGACAGCGGCCACCTGTAACAGAGCCCTGCTCCCAAAGGGGCCCCTCGGGGGCCAGCCCAGCGGGGTGACCTCCCAGGCACGGGCAGGCCAGGCTGAACCCGGCTGCAGCAGGAGACGTGGGGGAGAGTGGTGTTAACAAACGACAGCAGGAGGGGTGGGTACGGACAGGGCGACAGGGCGCGGTGAGTGTGGGGCGGAGCCAGTGGCCAGGGCCCGCCCATCAGAAGGCGAAGCAGCGCTCCTTGGGGTGGCCCACGCGGTCCAGGTTGGGCAGGCAGGCGTACTGGATCATGGGCGGGGGTCCGCACATCAGCACCAGCGGCTCCTCCTCCGGGGGCGGAAGGTGGTCCCGGATCATCTCCTCGTTCACGAAGCCCTGGCTGTAGTCCCAGGCTGCGGGGTGGGAGACCAGGTGAGCCCGAGTACGGCCGTGTGACCAACTGCCAACTGCCCACCCGCCCAGCACCCTCTCCTCCGTGACGAAGTTCCTGTGCCATGAATTCCTCCCTTCTTTCCACAAACACTGAAGGATGAAGAGGCTGAGCCAAGTAAACCCTCAGCCCGATCCCCTGCCCCCAAGCCTGGCTCACCTGTGCCACAAAGGCAAGCCCATCAACTTTGCCCCACCACGCTTCACAGCGTGCAACGCGTTTCACTGCCGCTGGCCTCTCATGTGGCCCTCAGAACCGCCCTGTGGGCGGACAGGGCAGGGGGTTACTGATCCCGTTTTACAGATGTGGGAACTGAGGCCAAGAGGACCCAGAGTTGAGTTGTCCCAGGTCACACAAAAAGGCATGGACAGGGCTGGGACGTTAGCCCCAGGTCCCAGAGGTCCCCCAGCCAGTGCCAGGCTGGTCAGGGTGACATTTCCTACCCCACCACCCTCCATGCTACCTACTGGCCCTGTGCCCACTGTCTGACTCTTCCCTCTACTGCATGTCGGTCCATGAGGAGCTGTGTCTGGTCCACAGCTGTAGTCTCAGTGCCCAGACAGCCCCACACACAGTAGTTACGCAATAAACAATGAGTAAAGGAATGCGTCCCAAATAAGCAATCGGTGAGCCTGAAAACAGCAAGGCCAGGAGCCAGGCTGAAGCTCCAGATGCAGGACCCTCGTGGCAGCAACAGCTCCTCTAGGTCCTGCCGGCCTCCCTGTCTCGCACACGCACACGTACATGCGCAGTGTGTCTCCAGGTTTCACCTGAGATCCAGAGCCACCTTTTATTCCTACAAGTCACTGCTGGTGCCCGCGGCGAGAACCTGGTGCCCCGAGGCTGGCAGGGCTCTAGTCCCACCCGGGCCCTCAGGACTGACCTGCCAGTAGGGGCTGCTCAGGGAGGGGAACCAGCCAGTTCCAGAAGCACGGTGGGCCCACGGGGACGGCAGGCTGGCAGGGCTCTGCCAGGAGAATGGGGCTCTGACGACTGGGGCCCGAGGAGAGGGGGAGGAGGCGACACCCAGCCCGGCTCCATTCTGGCTCCGATCTACGCCTTGGCTTCCACATCTGCGCTCAGGGCCGTAACTCCCCCATCACGGCAGACAATGCTCTCTGCATCACATCATGTACACTCCATGGGGGGGGTCCCTTGCGAGGGGCCAAGCCAGTCCCAGCTGGTCTTGGGATGAGGAAGAGTCTGCTGTGCTGAGCAATGGGGTATTCTTTACCTCATGGACACTGAGCTGAGTAACTGACCCCATCTCCCTTTTCACTTTGGCTGCTGGGAAGCTCAGAGTGATATACATGGCCACCCACAGCAAGTGTGCATCACAGCCCATGCTTCTGTACAAACCTCATTCCCAATTCCATTCTATGGCCCTGCCCTTGTTTTTCTTTCACTCCCACTTTCCATTTATACCACTCCGACTCACTCTATGAGTCTTTGTAAGGTGCCTAAAATCCCTCTGGAACAAGGCGGGACATAGGTAGGTAGATAACATTTTATTAACAGATCTAAAATTACTTTGAAAAAACCTGCATGGGACTAAACCATATTTGCTAGTGTAATGAATGTACAGGTATGTAAGACACATCTCAATTTCACAAGGACGTTTTTAGATAGTGTATTTTTCTTTACTTGTATACTGAAGGTGACTTTGTAGGGGAAAAAGAGTCAGCTGGCCCCTCTCCCCTGTTCTTTTGCTTAGCTCCACAACTGCCTGCTGGCCTGGTACCATTTTCCTCCTCAGCGTCTACCCTTTTCAGCTTACACCTAATGTTACGGCAATACCCGAACTACTGTCGAACTGTGGTCAGGGTAATAATAAACGTAAGTGTAAAATACCGGGAGACTACCCAACTGTATTTCTCCTTGGTCAGTAACTGGTTACTCTTAAAACTGTCCCCAGGAGGCACTTCGGTATAGGCGTTGCCAGGCGTCACCACCAGAGGGCAGTGTCCACTCCTCCTGCGGCCAGGCCAAGTGCAGGCAACAGGGATAGAGACCCCTGCAAGGACACTCCCATCGTGGCCAATGAGCCTACCTGACCACACTCTAGAACCTGCAACCAGAAGGGAGCTAAACCAGCTTTCATTTCCCCCTTTTGAATGAGACGTGGGTACAAGATAAATATTCCTTTCTTGGGCTTCCCGGGTGATGCAGGGGACACGGGTTCGTGCCCCGGTCCGGGAGGATCCCACATGCCGCGGAGCAGCTGGGCCCGTGAGCCACGGCTGCTGAGCTGGATGGGAGAGGCCACAGCAGTGAGAGGCCCGCGTATCGCAAAAAAAAAAAAAAAAAAAAAAAATTCCTTTCTTTACTGGAAGCTCGGACTCCCAGAACCAGTGCCTCCTGTGCGACCTCCAGTCTCTATGACTCTACTTTGTCTTTTCTGGGTCTCACTTATCACCTGCTACTGTACTTTATAATTTACTAAAAAAACCTGTTTCCTGTTCATCCTCCCCAACTAGAACATCAGCTCGGGCCAGGCTGGTTTCGGGAACACACAGAGTGAGGGGTCTGACCAGGAGGAGACCCACTGAGACACGGGTGGGCCCAGGACGGGGCCCTGGAACAAGACTGTCAGGTCCATGGATCCACCAGGGGCCCAGGATCCGATTTGGTCAACCCAGGAGGGTGGCTCCTCTCTCAGGGATGGACCCTGTTGAGATGGGTACCCCCAGAGCCCGCCTGCTCATTTCTGGGGAAAGCAGAGGGTGGCCTGTTCCCCACACTGCCGTGGTTGGGTCCCAGGGGACCGGGTGGCTGTGTGAGGAGAAGGAGGCAAAGCAAGGGCAGTGTGGCAGCAAGCTGGTGCCCACGTGGGTGCTTTGAAAATGTCCAGTTTCTAATATTTAAAAATTTCCCATGAAAGTGCAGGCCCCCAGCTTCCCCTGAAACATGGGGAGGCTGGCCTCCAGGGCGGTACTCCTGCACAGCAGGGCTGCCCGCAGCTGGGAGGGGGCTGCCCCTCTGCACAGGCAGATGCTCTCCAATTCGTCACAGTCCCCACCACTCCCTATAGTCTCCTAACCCTGAAGCCAAACATCACTGGTGTTATCTACCAAGAAGCCTCAGCTGCTGCTTTTCTTACAACAGAGAAGTTGTTAAGATA